TGCATGAAATTCATGCACAGGGGGGCAGGACCCCCTCAGCCCAGCCTGCACCCTCTCCAATCCGGGACCCCTTGGGGGAAGTCCAAATGCCAGTTTAGGGATCAGGCCTAAACCGGCATTTGAACATCCCTCTCACAATCTGGGACCACTGGCTCCTGCCTGCCTCCCTTATTGCCCCTAACTTTCCCCCATGCCGGCCTGGTCACCCTATACTGCCCTCCCACCGGTCTGGTTGCCCCTTACTGTCCCCTACCAGCCTGGTTGCCCCCAGCTGCCCTCCTGCAAGCCTGGTCACTCCATACAGCCTGCTGTTCAGTCATTTGGTCATCCCTCACTAACCCCCCTGCCGGCTATTCAGCCATCCATCTGGACATTTAGGTCGTGACAGCCCCTGGCTTTTTATATGTAACCTAATAATAGAGTAATATGCAAATTAACCATCACTCCGCTACACAAGCCACGCCCACTAGGCAATCAGGGCAAATATGCAAATTAACTTAACCAAGATGACGGTTAGTTTGTATATCAAGACAGCGTAGAAAGAAGCCAAGCCTGAAAAGGGAGTGAACCTGCAGAGAAGCAAGCGGGGCGGCAGAGAAAGGAGGAAAGCAGGCAGGGCAGCGACCAAAGCAGATTGCAGGAATCTCCCTGCAATGGACCACTAGTATTAGGATAATTCAAAGTATCATCAAATGAAAAATTATTAAGTTTCAAAAAAAATTGCAAGGTTAAAATTTAAAGACCATTAAATAAAATTTATAAAACTACTAAACTGGGGGCATTCTAAGCATAAAAATAAAAACCATTTAAAAAGACAAACAGCCGAGACCGGTTTGGCTTAATGGATAGAGCGTCGGCTTGGGGACTGAAAGGTCCCAGGTTTGATTCCGGTCAAGGACATGTACGTTGGTTGCGGGCATATCCCCAGTAGGGTGTGTGCAAGAGGCAGCTGGTCGATGACTCTCTCTCATCGATGTTTCTAGCTCTCTATCTCTCTCCCTTCCTCTCTGTACAAAATCAATAAAATATATTAAAATAATAATAATAAATAAAATAAATAAAAAGACAAACAGTTGACAATAACCCTTTAAAATAAATTTCTACACAGAAAATTAAGAAACCATGACATATACCCACACCATAAACATAGTTATCATACAAGAAAATAATTCAACAGCCAGCAACCAACAGGGAAAATGTTGCAATGTACAGCAGCTATAAGGTTGATGGACTTCATATATGGTGTTTCTTACAATCCCTAAGATAAAACAACCTGATAGGAAAAAGTGCAAAGGACAGAACAAAACAGATGGAGAAATAAAAAAGATCACATGTCCAAAGTGTGACGTTAAGTGTTATGCTCACTAATCAGACGGGAAATGCCGATGCCCAGTCCTGGAGACAGTGCCATGCCCCGGTGGAGATGCGTACCGGCTCCTGAGCAGGCACCACAGTAACTGTGTCACAGCCTTCCTCAGACCCTCTGACTCCATAACCCTAGTTCCACTTCTGAAGTGTGTCTAGAAGTAAATAAATAATCAACAGTTCACACAAAGACAACTGGAAACTGTGTCCTATTGTGAAACTGGATAACAACCAACGTAAAGTACGGTGCTGTGCAGCCAGCACAAAACTTAAGTTCTCAAAGCATGTCTGACGACATGAGAAATCCCACGAACAGCCCCGCAGGGCGACTTGGCTGGCTGGAGCGTCACCCGTGCACCAAAAGGCTGCAGGTCAGGGCACACAGACCCAGGTTGAGGGTTCGATGCCTGGTCTGCGCACATATGGGAGGCAACAGGTGATGTCTCTCTCTCAAATCCATGAAAGCACACCCTCGGATAAGGATTTTAAAACAGGAAACAAATGGAGTAAATAAGAAAACAGAGACCCATGTCTGCAGCAGGATCATCACTGTCAAAGATGCTTGTATGAATAAGTAGAAACAAGGTTAGCAGTGGTTCTTGAGTATGAGTAGAGATTTTGATTTTATTTTTCTTTCAGTTTTCCTCCTTCTACTTTTCTAAATCATCCAAAAAAAATTAATGAACATGTATTATTTTAATCAGGAAAATGTTCCTTAAAACAGCCAAAGTAAACACACTAGTTTCAAATTAACACAGAATGGTAAGACCATGGGACAACTCTTTTCCCTCTCCTTTTCCTTATCCGTGCTGAGCAAAGGGTAAACTCTTAAAAACCCTGGTATGCTGACTGTCCAAAGTTGACTGATTGAAGGCGGGAGGAGTGGGGGAGGTGGGGAGGCAGGGGCCGAGTACTGCCCACTCCCTCCTCACACCACAGGAGGGGGCTGCGAATGGGAACCGCCTCGGAGCGCAGTGCAGTGACTCTGCGCAGTGCTCTGTAACACCTCCTTTTCTCTGGCTACATCCCGGCAGACATGCAGCCGCTGCTGAAGGCACAGAGCTGTGACTCTGTGAGAGAGAGAGGACCATGGCGGAGTCCTCCCAAACCAGCAGGTGCAGAGGAGCTCTGAGGCCTCGCCACCCCGTCAATGGCCACCGCACAGAGGAGCACAAGCCTCAGGCCTGAGCCAGCGCCCGTGCGGACCGCCTGGGCTCCGCTGCGGCCACAGGAATAAGCACGGCCTCCGCCGAGACACCTGCTATCCTGCCTCGTCCCGGCCAGTTCAGCGTCAGGGAGCCGCGGATGAGGTTGGACTTCCACCCCGCCGGCTTCCCAAGGAGGAGTCCAAGTTCCACAGAGAGAGCCGGCTGCTGAGGCACGCTAGCACACCAGTCCCTGTGCCCCTGCCCTACAGCTCCCCCCAATCAGCCACCCCTACAGCTCCCCCGCACTGGCCACCCCTACAGCTCCCCCCAACCAGCCACCCCAGAAACTGTGTTCCCTTCCCTACGCTCCCCCAACCGGCCACCCCAGAAACCACTGTGTCCCCTTCCCTACGCTCCCCCAACCGGCCACCCCCAGAAACTGTGTCCCCTTTCCTACGCTCCCCCCAACCGGCCACCCCAGAAACTGTGTCCCCTTCCCTACGCTCCCCAACCGGCCACCCCTACGCTCCCCCCAACCGGCCACCCCAGAAACTGTGTCCCCTTCCCTACGCTCCCCCAACCGGCCACCCCAGAAACTGTGCCCCCTGCCCCTCTGCTCTCCCCCTGTAAAACTGAGGGGCAATTACCCACTTAGGTGACCAGGAAAGATGCAGTAAACACACACACATAACCACAGAGAAACCACACAAATGTCACCCTCAGAACCCCGATCCGGGTCCTGGAAAGGGAGCCTTACATTACAGAGAAGCCACTGTCACCTCCGCCCTCCACACACTTGACTCTTTACCCGCCACAGACTTACACCTCCCGCTTTACACGCAGAAACAGGCAGCTCAGAGAACAGGAAAGGCAGCTCCAGTCACAGAGAACTGCCGAGCCCACACCATTTCCCTCAGGGCCCACGCCGTTCCCTCAGGGCCACGCAGTTCCCCTCAGGGCCCACGCCGTTCCCTCAGGGCCCACGCCGTTCCCCTCAGGGCCTGTCCCCTCAGAGCCCACGCCGTTCCCCTCGTTCCCCTCAGAGCCCACGCCGCTCCCTCAGGGCCCACGCCATTCCCTCAGGGCCTGTTCCCCTCAGGGCCACACCATTCCCCTCAGAGCCCACGCCGTTCCCCTCGTTCCCCTCAGAGCCCACGCCGCTCCCTCAGAGCCCACGCCGTTCCCTCAGGGCCCACACCGTTCCCCTCAGGGCCCACGCCATTCCCCTCAGGGCCCACGCCGTTCCCCTCAGGGCCTGTCCCCTCAGAGCCCACGCCGTTCCCTCAGGGCCACGCCGTTCCCTCAGGGCCCACGCCGTTCCCTCAGGGCCCACGCCATTCCCTCAGGGCCTGTTCCCCTCAGGGCCCACGCCGTTCCCTCAGGGCCACACCGTTCCCTCAGGGCCCACGCCGTTCCCTCAGGGCCACACCGTTCCCCTCAGGGCCACACCGTTCCCCTCAGAGCCCACGCTGTTCCCCTCGTTCCCCTCAGAGCCCACACCGTTCCCTCAGGGCCCACGCCGTTCCCTCAGGGCCCACGCCGTTCCCCCAGGGCCCACGCCGTTCCCCTCAGAGCCCACGCCGTTCCCTCAGGGCCCACGCCGTTCCCCTCAGGGCCCACGCCGTTCCCCCAGGGCCCTCGCCGTTCCCCTCAGGGCCCACGCCACGCCGTTCCCTCAGGGCCCACGCCATTCCCTCAGGGCCCACGCTGTTCCCCTCAGGGCCCACGCCGTTCCCCTCAGGGCCCACGCTGTTCCCCTCAGGGCCCACGCCGTTCCCCTCAGGGCCCACGCCGTTCCCTCAGGGCCCACGCCGTTCCCTCAGGGCCCACGCCGTCCCCTCAGGGCCCACGCCGTTCCCTTCAGAGCCTGTTCCCCTCAGGGCCCACGCCATTCCCTCAGGGCCCACGCCATTCCCTCAGGGCCCACGCCGTTCCCCTCAGGGCCCACGCCGTTCCCTCAGGGCCCACGCCGTTCCCTTCAGAGCCACACCGTTCCCTCAGGGCCCACGCCGTTCCCCTCAGGGCCCACGCCATTCCCTCAGGGCCCACGCCGTTCCCCTCAGGACATGAGGCGTCCGTTCCTGTGGCCACGGAGGTCTCTGTCCGGCCGGGAATCAGCCCCACGCGGCGTCTGTCTCCTGCCGCTGCTCGGACCACCATGGAGACAGCCCCCAGGCTTAGCCTCTGTCCAGGAAAAGGCTCAGCAGGTCACAGTAAACAATAATTACACCAACCGGCTGGCCGGCCCTGGGAATGTTTCCCTATCTGGCCGGAGGACCAACAGAGCTGATGTGTCCATTTTCCAGATAAAAGCACAGAGGCTCCACCGAGTCTCACAGCAGGAAATGGGATCAATCAGATACCACAGCCTCCTTCCTGACCCCCACCTCTCCCGCTGCGACCAGATGAAGAAACCCAAATCTGTCTGGTCCCCGCCCTCCTCGGGCCGGCGGCCCGCCCCGCCTGCCCGCCCGAGCCCGCCTCCACCTTGGTTGAGGTAGGTCAGCGTCTCTTCGTGCAGCTTCACGGCCGGGGACGTGGCGGCACACAGCACGTACTGCAGGGGCGGCAGGCGCGCCTCGTTCTCGGGGGACAGCTGGGGCTCCTCCTGCTTGAAGATGGGCAGAGCGAGCACATCCCTGCAACACACAGCGGAGGGGGCGGTGAGGAGCGGGGCCGCGGGCAGGGACGGCCACGCGGGGAGAAGCGGACCAGACCGCGTCCTCCGGGGCGGCCCGGCCAAGCACACGGCCGGGAGCCGGTCAGCTTCCCGTGCCCCAACCGCCAGCCCTTCCTGAGAGAGCAGCCCGCCCTGCGGTGCCTCTCCTCTCTCTCCGTGACCCGCAGGAGATGTCCCCTCATTAATGAGGGGACAATGCAACGTCATCTGACGCTGCAAATGACAGAAGTCTGCTCTGTGACGATGGGACTCCCAGCACCAGCCTGAACCTTAGATGCCTTTTGGCCTCCACCCATAAGAAAGACAAGAAAGACATTATAAAGTCTTGCTTTTAGAATACAACTCTGAACAAATATTTTAATTGCTTAAATAAACTATTCTATTTATTGGCCACTTCTCAGAATAATACAATGCTGTCCGTGGGGCTCTGAAAATACAGAAACTGCTGAGACGTCCCCCCACCCTTCAAAAATAAAAAGGACAGTGGGCCCATAACGCCTACGTGAAGGGTCATGCTAATATCTCCTAAATGCAAAACAAGAAGAAAGGACCTTGATTTCAATTCGGTTTTCTTATGCAAACAAGAAATGGTAAGATGCTCAGCGATTCTTTTCCTCCACTTCTGAACCAAAATCCTCACCATATCCCCCCCAAAATCCGCTTCCCATCAGCCCACGCCTGGAGAACTTGTTTCCAGATGTATTTCTAAATGCCCTTGCAAGTGGAAGAGAAATCCTTGAGGACACGAATGACCTGTGGGCAGGCTTGTTTAAGGCTCCACATTAGGAGCAGCACGAAAACAGGTGCCAGGAAAGTGCCAGCGCCCTTATCTTGATAACCCCCCGTGAGCCGGGCTATGAATCAGATTCCCGGCCGCTGCGCTGTATAAACAGCAGTCACCGGTACAGTGTGTTCCTCACACGGCACCATAAACGCATGTCTCTAAAACACAAGCCCAGCACACACCCAGCAATGTCCAACAATTCTCAGAAGGAAAGCCGGGCTGGGAGCACCTGCAGGGCGGCCCGCACCCCTCCTTTTCCCGCGGCCCGCGGTGTCTAGGAACGGAGGAAGAGCCGCAGGCTGGCTCCCCTGGGATCGCATGATTTCATGTTCGCCGAAACCATCTAAATTAATAATCCATGGGCTGCTACCTCTAAACACACACAAAGGGGGGGTGGGGGGAGGGTGCGGGGGTAAGAGCCATCACTCAACAGCAACTCGTTTCCAGCCCAGCATCCTGATTTGCCCAGGAGTAAAAGTCACGAGAACACCAAACAGAGGAGGCAAAGGAGGCGTCAAGGCCACTGCCTAAAGTCAAACCGCTGTGGCTCCGCAGTGAGGAGGCAGCCAGACAGAAAAGCCCAGGAAAAAGGCAAGACCCTCACTGGAGAGCTGGGGGGAACGAGGGAATAGTCACCACTCCTCACCTTGGCCTTCGTTGAGGTCAACTTCTACGAGGTGAAAACTCCAGCTTCCAAGGGAAATTTTTCAAAAAGGGCAGGGCCCTGGCCCATTTGGCTCAGTGCAAAGTGTCAGCCGCCTGACTGAAGGGTCCCAGGTTCGATTCCGATCAAGGATTCTGATTGACAGTCCTGCTCACAGGGGGTTAGGTGTAACCTCGGTTGCAGGCTTGATCCATGGCCGGGGTCGGGCCATGTGTGGGAGGCAACCTATGGATGTATCTCTCTCACATCGATATTTCTCTTACTCTTCCCCTCCCTTCCACTCTCTCTTAAAAAATCAATGGAAAAATATCCTCCGGTGAGGATTAACAAAAAAAAAAATAAATTAAAAGTGGCATGGATATGGCCAATGTGCTCAGTGATTAGAGTGTCAGCTTGTGCACTGAAGGGTCACGGGTTCAATTCCCCGTCAAGGACACTACCTGGGTTGCAGGTCAATCCCAGGCCACCGTAGGGGCAGGAGGCAACCAATCAGTGTCTCTCCCACATCCATGTTTCTCTCTCTCTCCCTCCCTCTCTACCTTCCATTCTCTCAAAAAAAAAAAAAAAAAATCCTCAGAATTACAAAAAAAACACCAAACTTTAAAAAGGGGCATGGACCAAATGCTTCTTTATGGACCCAAAATGATCCCAGAAACCAATGTGGCTTTATAGCTCCTTTCACCCCAATCTCTTCCCCCTCCCCCATACCAAAATCCTAAAAGGTACCTCAGGGACTCCAAAGACAAATTTCCATCTCAATGGCAGAGGCACCTCCCACGCAAAGGGAATTTTTCTGAATGGGATGACATTTTAGGTATCCGGGAAGATTTACATACACTTACTCTCCATTCAAGGTCACCTTCAGAATCATTTTTAAGGTATGGCACACGCTTAACGGCCACAAACTAACTTAGGCAAAACTATGCCTGAAGCTGCTACGTGCAGTAATTTAAAAAATGTAACATTTTGTAAGTGGACGGGGAGTAACATCCGCGGGCACACAAGTCCCCGGAGCCCTTCGCTCTGACACCACAGGGTCTGCGGGACCCAGGCTCCTGCCGCCTGCTCTCCCAGGGGTAAAACCCCGCAGACACAGCCCCTGTAGTTCCTTCGCCTTCTAGAAGGGGGTGTCTACAAGGAGGACTACTGGACAGATGTCTGTCAGAAACCAGATTCACAACTAAATCTGGAGGGAAACTTCTTGGAGGAGAAGAAGAAAAAGACCCTCCCGGTGGCTCTCACTTGGGGGCTCAGTGGCTGAGACCCCTGGGCCTCGCTGCCCACGTCCTCTGCACCGCACCGAATGCCGTCTGCGTTTAAACCGGGCACATTTCACAAACCGCGGCCGGGGTGGCACAGAGACCGGCCAGAGCGGGCTGGGCGGGCTGAGTGAAGACGGCCACGGGCTGCCGGCGGCCAGCAGCCTCCCGGGTGGGCGCTGACGGGCCCTGCCTCCCGGGGACTGAGGGCTCCGCACACCGGGGCCCTGCCTCCCGGGGACGGGGAGGACCCGCACACCGGGGCCCTGCCTCCCGGGGACGGGGAGGACCCGCACACCCTTGGAGGGCTGCTTCCCCTCGGAGAGCACCAGCCGAGGAGGATCTCCCTCAGGGCGGGAGGGTGCGGCCTCCGGGGCAGGTGCGCAGGACCCCCCGGAGCGAGGGCCCCGGCCGCCCGAGCCCCCGGCGCCGCGAGGCTGAGGTGCGGGGCGCGCCTCACACCCACCCCCCGGCCGGGCCACGGACCTGGGGAGCCCGGAGGCCGGAGCGGGGCCGGGGAGCGGGGCAAAGAGCAGGGCTGGGCTTCCCGGGGGCAGCCCTCCGACGCCGGGGGAAGGAGCCGGGCAGGGGCACCGGAGTGGGCTGAGGCCAGCAGGCCCGCGCCCCGCCCGGGGTCGTTCGGGGAGGCGCCCCCCACTCCGGGCACCAGAGCACCAGGCTCCGCCAGCCGGGCCCCCGACACCGCGCGCCCGGACCCGCCGGCGTCCGTCCGTCCGTCCGTCCGTCCCCACGGGGCCTCGGCGCTGTGTCCTCAGTCCGCGAGGGCGGAGCGCGGGGATCCGGGTCCCGGCGCCCCGCCCGCCCCCGGCCCCCGCGCCGCCGGCCTCACCGCAGGTAGCCGCCGGCGCCGTGCTGGTTGTAGTGCTCGGGCTGCGTGTGCCAGAACAGCATGGCTGCAGCGCGCCGCCCGCTCCGCCGGACCGCTCCGGCGCCGCCGCCCGCGCCTTTATGGGCGGCCGGGGGCGGGGCTGCGCTCACCTCCCCGCCCGCCCGCCCCGCCCGCCCCGCCCGCCCTTCCCGAGCGAAGGTGCCGGGCCCGGGGCGGCTGGAGGGGGCGGTGCGTGCGGACAGACGGCGCTGGACCGCCTCCCCCAGCCCCACCGCCTCCCGCGCCTCCTCCGCGCAGCGCCGGCCCCGAGGGCACCGCGGCGAAGCGGCCGCGCCGAGCACCAGGTCAGCACCGAGATCCAGCCCCTCCCCGCCCCACGCGCCCTGGGTATTCACGCTTCACACTCTGCACTCGTGGGTTTTTCCTTTTAGTTGTGTGCGGATCTCCTCCTAGAATGAGGTGAGCAGACGTCCCGCTTTTGGCGGGACAGTTCCGATTTCAATTTGTCCCGCGTCCCACGGCGTTTTAAAAGAGCTTCTTTCCAAAAATCGGGACTTTTTTTAAAACGCCGCGGGACGTCTGGTCACCTTATCCTAGATGTAAGCTCCAGAGGCAAGGGCTGACTCCCGCTCGCCCTGCTAGCTCCGCTGCCAGGAAGGTGCGTTGGGACGTGGCAGTAAGTGCTTCTGGGTGTTTGTGGGATGGATGTGAGAAAAGGGATGGCCCGGTGTGTGAATGTCACCTGGAGGAGGTGGCCTTGAGCTGAGGACGCATCATCTCTGTGAGCATCTGGAGGGAAAGTGGTTCCAGGAAGAGGCAACAGCGACCCCAAGGCCCCAGAGCAGACCCTTAGCATGGCTGGGCTGGGTGACCAGAGCCAGAGCTTAGGGCCTGAGGTGGGAGAGGCCGGCAGGACAGACCCTGGGGGCACAGCAGACCCTGCCCGGAGCTGGGGTTGTATTCTGGGTCTCTTAAGCATATCTGATTTGCCTTTGGTAAAGATCAGTCTGGAAGGAGTGTGGACAGCCATAGCACCAAGTTCTGTGCCTGAGTGTTAGTCAAAGGAAATGAAGTCACATGGAGACCTGGGCCAGAACCCCCAACTCCCCTCTCTGTTCTCTCAGCTCCCCTCCCTCCAGTCACAGCTGCATGACACATACCCTGAGTAGCTCTCACACCCCCTGCTCTTCTGCCCTATGAGGACAATGAGAAGTGCCACTCGTTCCCCTTCAAGGAAGGACTGTGAGCAGCCAGCCCTCAGCCACCAGCACTGCGGGGACTGCCTCTGCTCTGGGAGCCACGATCAAGGCTAAGAGTCTGACCCTGTCCGGCTGGCCTGCGTGGCTCAGAGGTTGAGTGTCCAATGAACCAGGAGGTCACAGTTTGATTCCCACGTTCAGGGACCTGAAATGTTTCATTAGCAGAGTGATTGCTAAGTCTCTGCCCGGCTCCAGCACCGAGCACACGGGCTTTGCCTGGAGAAGATGCCGCCCCTTCGGAAAAGGCAGGTGAGGAGGCCCCAGGCCTCTGAGGGCAGCAGCAGCTCACATCTACCAGATGCCATGGCCCTTCCCGGGACAGGCTGCGCCCCGTTCCCAGGGTCCGCACCCAGGGCCCACCACGAGGAGGGCTGCTTGGTGGGGGCTAAGAGGAAAGAGGGTGCAGGGCCCCAACAATGTCTAATCCTGGAAAGCCATCTATTTTCCTCACCTGGATTCCCTGAGGGAAGAAACTTGCGTCCCAGCTGTTATTTTTGGAATACCTGCTCCGGCTGGCACCCTCAATAGCCATGGGAGGTGGGGCTTGAATGCCCATTTGCAGGTGGGGAAGCTGAGGTTCAACAGGGTATGCCAGCTGCTGAAATGTGCGAGGCACAGAGGGAAGGAAGAGGGCGGGAGGGGGAGACGGTCCCTGCCTGTCCACCGGCCCTAGAGAAATGTTCCCCTCCCGCCCCCCACCCGCCCCCACCCCCGCCCCTGCCCCTGGATCCCCCTGCGGGACTCAGGCAGGACTTTCCTCCTGGGAAGAGCCTCCTGTTGCGCTGACCCAGACCCAGTGATGGAGTGACGGAGGGTGGTTTCCAAAGCAGCGCATGCAGCATTCTGGGCGGAGGCAGGGCCAGCCCGCACTGCTGAGCCATCTGACTCAGGACCCCTGAGCTCAGTCCCCTGGGCACAGTTCTCCACCCCCAGCCGCGGCCTGGCCTGGGCCAACCGCTTCTGTAGAGCTTAAGACCAGCAGAAAACACAGATATTTGCATTACAATTCATAACAGTAGCAAAATTACAGTTAGGAAGTAGCAACAAAAATAACTTTATGGTTGGGGGTCACCACAACATGAGGAACTGTATTAAAGGGTTGCAGCATTAGAAAGGTTGAGAACCACTGGTCAAAACTAACTTGCCATTAACTGTAAGATGCATCATTATTTTTTAAATTTACTTTTATTATTGACAGTATTCCAGATGCCTCCCGTTTCACCCCTTTGCCACACTCTGCCCAGCTTCTGCCCACCCAGGCCTTTCCCATGGTATGGCCTGTGTCCATGCTTATGCAGATGCTCTTTGATTAATCTCTTCCCGCCACCCCCCTGCCTTCTCCCTTTCCTCCAAGATCAGTCAGTCTGTTCCATGTATTCATGTCTCTGGCTCTGTTTTGTTCATCAGTTTATCTTGTTCGTTAGATTCCACATATGAATGAGATCATGTGACCTTTGTGTTTCTTTGACTGGCTTATTTCGAATGGCTTAATATTCTCCAGGTCCCAGCATGCTGTTTCAAAGGGTAAGAGACCCTCCTTCTTTATAGCTGCAAAGTATCCCATGGTATAAATGTATCAAGGCTTTTTTATTCACTCATCTGCTGTTTCCAGATCTTAGCTATTGTAAACTGTGCTGCTATGAACATAGGGATGCACACATTCTTTCTGATTGGTGCTTTGGGTTTCTTAGGATATATTCCTAGAAGTAGGATCATTGGGTCAAATGGCAGTTCCATGTTTAATTTTTTGAGGAAACTCCATTCTGTTCTCCACAGTGGCTGCGCCAGTCTGATTCCCACCAGCAGTGCAGGAGGGTTCCTTTTTCTCCACATCCTCCCCAGCACTTGTTTGTGGATTTATTGATGGTAGCCATTGATGATAGACCGGTGAGAGGTGATATCTCATTGTCGTTTTAATTTGCATTTCTCTGAAGATTAGTAATGGTGAGCATTTTTCTCATTTGTTGCTCGGCCATCTGTATGTCCTCTTTGGGAAAGTGTCTATTCAGGTGCTCTGCCCATTTTTAAATTGGATTGTTTGTCTTCCTGGCTTTGAGTTGTATGAGTTCTTTGTATAGTATTTTGAAAATTAACCTCTTATCAGCAGTATCATTGGCGAATATGTTCTCCCATACAGTGGGCTCCCTTTTCATTTTGTTGATGGTTTTTTTGCTGTGCTAAATCTTTTTACTTGATGTACTCCATCTGTTTCTTTTTCCTTTGTTCCTCTTACCCTAGGAGATGTGTCCGTGAAAATCCTGCAATGTGAGGATTTTTATGGTTTCATGACTTAGTAGTACATTTAAGTCTTTTTTCCATTTTGAGTTTATTCTTGTGTATGGTGTGAGTTGGTGGTCTAGTTTCATTTTTTTTTTCATGTACCTGTCCAATTTTTCCAATGCCATTTATTGAAGAGACTATCTTTTCTTCATTGGATACTCTTGCCTCCTTTGTCAAATATTAATTTACCATAATGGTGTGGGTCAATTTCTGGGGTCTCTGTTCTGTTCCATTGATCTATATGCCTGTTCTTGTGCCAGAACCAGTCTGTTTTGATTACAATGTCTTTGTAGTATAGTTTTATATCTGATATTGTGATCCCTCCACTTTGTTCTTTCTCAAGATTACTGCTGCTGCTATTATGGGCCTTTCTTGGTTCCAAATAAATTTTTGGAATATTTGTTCCAGGTCTGTGAAATATGCTGATGAAATTTTAATTAATTATTGTACCAGATTGCATTGAATCTGTAGATTGCTTTAGGTAGTATGGACATTTTAATGATGCTAATTCTTCCAATCAATGAACACAGTATATGCATCCACTTGTTTGTATCTTCCTCTATTTCTCTTTTTCAATGCCCCACACTTTCCCAAGAACAGGTCTTTTACCTTGGTTCAGTTCATAACTAGGTATCCTATTTCTTTTGTTACAATGGTAAATGGAATTTTTTTTTTTAGTTCCTCTTTCTGAGAGTTCATTATTGGTGTATAAAAATGCCATTATTTTTTGGATGTTAATTTTGTATCTTGCTACTTTGCCAGTGGAAATAAATGACACAGAGACTGAAAATATATATATATATAAAATATCAATGAAATCAAGAGCTGATTCTTTGAAAAGATAAGCAAGATAGATGAATCATTAGCCAGACTCATCAAGAAACAAGGAGGACCCAAATAAAATCAGAAATGGAAGAGAAGAAATAACAATTGACACCACAGAAATACAAAGGATTGTAATACAATACTAGTATAAACATGTATATAATGCCAACCAATTGGGCAACCTGGATGAAATGGACAAATTCCTAGAAACATATGATCTTCCAAAACTCAATCAGGAAGAATCAGAAAACCTGAATAGGTGGATATTAACTAATGAAATCAAAGCAGTAATAAACTCTGAATGGATTCACAGGTGATTTTTACCAAACATTCAAAAAAGAACTAACACCTATCCTCCTCAAACTATTCAAAAAAGTTTAAGAGGAGGGAAGACTTTTAAGCTTCTTTTACAAGGCCACTATTCTCCTAACTCCAAAACTGAATAAAAATACTACAAAGAAAGAAAACTATAGGCCAATATCCCTGATGAAAGTACATGTTAAAATCCTCTACAGCCCTAGCCAGGGATAGGCTCAGTGGATAGAGCACGGGCCTGCGGATCAAAGGGTCCTGGGCTTGATTCCAGTTAAGTTCACGTTCCTTGGTTTCAGGCTCCTCCCTAATGCTGGCCCTGGTCATGGAACCTGCAGCAGGCAAACAATTAATGTGTGTTCCTCTCTTACCGGTGTTTCTCTCGGCCTTCCCCTCTCACTTCCCCTCTCTCTAAAAAATCAATGGAAAAATGTCCTCGGGTGAGGATTAACAACAACAATTACACATCCACAACAAAATATCAGCACACCAAGTCCAAAAATACATTACAAAGATCACATGACCAAGTGAGACTTGTTCTAGGGATGCATGGCTGGTACAATATTTGCAAATCAATAAATATGATACATCATATAAATAAA